TCAGTGATAAAATAACATATTGATATTTATTTTATAGTATTATATATATATATATATGAGTGAAAAAGACAAGATAATCAGTGAGATCTACTACGATCAGGCTGGGTTTGGTAGCATCGCCACCACTTACAAAGATGCAAAAAAGAAAGATGCATCCATAACAATGCAAGATGTCAAGGAGTGGTTTCAAGAGAACGTGGAACGGAAAAAACAACTGTCTGGATACAATTCGTTTATTGCCCCTGATATCAACTTTGAATATCAATTGGATCTGTTTTTTATATCAAAAATGATTTAGACAATCAAAAATATAGGATAGGCTTATTGCTTATTGATGTATTTTCCCGCAAAGCCGTGGTGGTGCCTATTGCATCCAAGCAACCTGCCGACATCACGGCTGGGATCATGGAGGCATTAAACAAAATGGGAGGGGAACCCAAATTAATTTATTCGGATGACGAGGGGAGTCTCAATACCCAAGATCTTGTCGATTTTTTCAAGGACGAAGGGATCCAAAACTATAAAACACGAGGGCACCCCCATTTCGCCGAGCGTTTCATTCGCACGTTCAAGGACATGCTTTTCAAGAGGGTTGATGCAGACGAGAAAAAGGGAAAGGTTAATATACAATGCTCGTGAGAGGCCGAAACCGCTCCCGAGCGAGACGGGCGCGGGGGACGCTCGTGACGCCCCCGAGCGAGACGGGCCTTAAACCGCCCCCGAGCGAGACTGGCGCGGCGGACGCTCGTGACAAGCGGAAACCGCCCGCGAGCGAGACTGGCGCTGGGGACGCTTGTCGTGAGAGGCCGAAACCGCCCCCGAGCGAGACGGTCGCGGGGGACGCTAGTGACAGGCCGAAACCGCCCCCGAGCGAGACCTGCGCGGTGGACGCTCGTGACATGCGGAAACCGCCCGCGAGCGAGACTGGCGCGGTGGACGCTTGTGACAAGCGGAAATCGCCCCCCGAGCGAGACTGGCGCGGGGCTCGTGACAGGCCGAAACCGCCCCCGAGCGAGACGGGCGCGGGGGACGCTTGTGACAGGCCGAAACCGCCCCCGAGAGCGAGACGGGCGCGGGACACTCGTGACAGGCCGAAACCGCCCCCGAGCGAGACTGGCGCGGTGGACGCTCGTGACAAGCGGAAACCGCCCGCGAGCGAGACTGGCGCGGGGGACGCTTGTGAGAGGCCGAAACCGCCTCCGAGCGAGACGGGCACGGGGGACGCTCGTGACAGGCCGAAACCGCCCCCGAGCGAGACTGGCGCGGTGGACGCTGGTGACATGCGGAAACCGCCCGCGAGCGAGACTGGCGCGGTGGACGCTCGTGACAAGCGGAAACCGCCCCCGAGCAAGACGGGTGCAAGGGACGCTCGTGACAGGCCGAAACCGCCCCCGAGCGAGACGGGCGCGGGGGACGCTCGTGACAGGCCGAAACCGCTCCCGAGCGAGACTGGCACGGCGGACGCTCGTGACATGCGGAAACGCCCGCGAGCGAGACTGGCGCGGTGGACGCTCGTGACATGCGGAAATTTAACCGCCCTCAAGCGAGACTGGCGCGGTGGACGCTCGTGACATGCGGAAACTGCCCGCGAGCGAGACTGGTGCGTTGGACGCTTGTGACATGCGGAAACCGCCCGCGAGCGAGACTGGCCGCTCGTGACATGCGGAAACCGCCCTCGAGCGAGACTGGCGCGGTGGACGCTCGTGACATGCGGAAACCGCCCGCTGGCGCGGTGGACGCTCGTGACATGCGGAAACCGCCCTGGAGCGGTGGACGCTCGTGACATGCGGAAACCGCCCGTGAGCGAGACTGGCGCGGTGGACGCTCGTGACATGCGGAAACCGCCCGCGAGCGAGACTGGCGCAGTGGACGCTCGTGACATGCGGAAACCGCCCGCGAGCGAGACTGGCGCGGTGGACGCTCGTGACATGCGGAAACCGCCCGCGAGCGAGACTGGCGCGGTGGACGCTCGTGACATGCGGAAACCGCCCGCGAGCGAGACTGGCGCGGTGGACGCTCGTGACATGCGGAAACCGCCCGCGAGCGAGACTGGCGCGGTGGACGCCCATGACAGGCGCAAACGGCATGCGAGGCGCGGTGGACGCTCGTGGACCGCCCGCGAGCGAGACTGGCGCGGTGGACGCTCGTGACAGGCGGAAACCGCCCGCGAGCGAGACTGGCGCGGTGGACGCTCGTGAGATGCTCGTGACAGGCGGAAACCGCCCGCGAGCGAGACTGGCGCAGTGGACTCTCGTGACAGGCGGAAACCGCCCGTGAGCCAGACTGGAGCGGTGGACGCACGTGACATGCGGAAACTGCCCCCGAGCGAGACTGGCGCGGGGGACGCTCGTGTCGTGACATGCGGAAACCGGCGCGGTGGAGGCTCGTGACATGCGGAAGCCGCCCCCGAGCGAGACTGGCGCGGTGGACGCTTGTGACATGCGGAAACCGCCCGCGAGCGAGACTGGCGCGGTGGACGCTCGTGACACGCGGAAACCGCCCGGGAGCGAGACTGGCGCGGTGGACGCTCGTGACATGCGGAAACCGCCCGCGAGCGAGACTGGCGCGGTGGACGCTCGTGACATGCGGAAACCGCCCGCGAGCGAGACTGGCGCTGGACGCTCGTGACATGCGGAAACCGCCCGCGAGCGAGACTGGCGCGGTGGACGCTCGTGACATGCGGAAACCGCCCGCGAGCGAGACTGGCGCGGTGGACGCTCGTGACATGCGGAAACCGCCCGCGAGCGAGACTGGCGCGGTGGACGCTCGTGACATGCGGAAACCGCCTGCGAGCGAGACTGGCACGGTGGACGCTTGTGACATTCGGAAACCGCCCGCGAGCGAGGCTGGCGCGGACGCTCGTGACATGCGGAAACCGCCCGCGAGCGAGACTGGCGCGGTGGACGCTCGTGACAGGCGGAAACCGCCCGCAAGCAAGACTGGCGCGGTGGACGCTCGTGACCTGCGGAAACCGCCCGCGAGCGAGACTGGCGCGGTGGACGCTCGTGACATGCGGAAACCGCCTGCGAGCGAGACTGGCGCAGTGGACGCTCGTGAAAGGCGGACGAGCGAGACTGGCGCGGTGGACGCTCGTGACCCTCGGAAACCGCCCGCGAGCGAGACTGGCGCAGTGGACGCTCGTGACATGCGGAAACCGCCCGCGAGCGAGACTGGCGCGGTGGACGCTCGTGACATGCGGAAATCACTCGCGGGCAAGACTGGCGCGGTGGACGCTCGCATGCGGAAACCGCCCGCGAGCAAGACTGGCACGGTGGACGCTCGTGACACTCCGGCGAGCAAGACTGGCGCGGTGGACGCTCGTGACATGCGGCAACCGCCACGTGCGCGGCTCCATGTGAACAGCCCGGCGCTACCTGACCCGAACAAACGGTGCCAATGTGTTTCTAGGACGAACCCTCTCTTCAGAAGCTGTAGCCTCTTGGGGTTCGCCCTACTTATTTGGAAGCAGCCTGGAAGCACGTTGACATGAATATGCTGAGAACACTCGGCCCAAACAAAATTTAAAGGGCGCATGAACATCCGAACAGCTGACCCCGGTCTACGCAGATCGTGGTAACACTGTGTCTCAGACTTATTTCGGACAAGTGACCGAGGCTTGTCCACACCGAGCCCCCCGCAAAAACGCAGCGCCGGCCCCGTCTCCACACACCTGCGGCGAATCCACCCAAATTGCCATCCACACGCGTGCGCGGCCCTTTCCACAAAGTCACCAGTTGCAATTTGTTGCGAATGGGAAAATAGGTGGAGAAACTAACGAATCCGAGCAAGCTTACCAAGCAAGTTTGTGAAGGCCACGTGCACGGCTCCATGTGAACAGCCCGGCGTTCCAGGTGCGCCAACATTGTCATTTTTGCCGCACACCTGACCCAAACAAATGGTGCCAATGTGTTTCTAGGACGAACCCTCTCTTCAGAAGCTGTAGCCTCTTGGGGTTCGCTCACTTATTTGGAAGCAGCCTGGAAGCACGTTGACATGAATATGCTGAGCACACTCGGCCCAAACAAAAGGGCGCATGAACATCCGAACAGCTGACCCCGGTCTACGCAGATCGTGCTAACACTGTGTCTCAGACTTGTTTCAGACAGGCGTCAGACCCACCAAGTGACCCGAGCCCCCCGCAAAAGCGCAGCGCCGGCCCCGTCTCCACACACCTGCGGCGAATCCACCCAACTTGCCATCCACACGCATCCGATCGACAACGTGCGCGGCCCTGTCCACAAAGTCACCAGTTGCAATTCGTTGCGAATGGGAAAATAGGTGTAAAACTAACGAATCCAAGCAAGCTTACGAAGCAAGTTTGTGAAGGCCACGTGCGCGGCTCCATGTGAACAGCCCGGCGTTCCAGGTGCGCCAAGATTGTCCTTTTTGCCACACACCTGACCCGAACAAATGGCGCCAATGTGTTTCTAGAACGAACCCTCTCTTCAGAGTCTGTGGCCTCTTGGGGTTCGCCCTACTTATTTGGAAGCAGCCTGGAAGCACGTTGACATGAATATGCTGAGCACACTCGGCCCAAACTCTACTCAGATCGTGTTGTAACACTGTGTCTCAGACTTGTTTCAGATGGGTGTAGAGCGAGCTTATGCCTTGCTTCCAATTTGGGAGTGGTAGTTTGTGCGGATCCATTTTCGGATTTCTGCGATTGGTTCTTCATGATGAATCGGATGACTTCGTGCCTTCCATGTAGCGCGGGGCCTGTCATGTTTCGCCCGTGCCTTTGCCTGTTTCTCTGCGCTTGAGTCGCGGTTGCTCCCCTTCTTCATCTGTTTTGGGGTTGATTTCCCAACTGTGAACAACTTAAATCTTGGTTTGCCTTCGGACCCTTGAGCCGGAAAACAACGGGATCCACGTGCCATGGGGAGTGAGGCTGGTTTGCTTTTGGGTCCCCGGGCTCCTCTTGTTTTTTACCCCCTCCCCCCCTTCGCGCCAGGAGCCAGACGGCGCGCCCGAGGTGTAACATTCACGCCTGGGCCGCCGCCATGCAGCGGCGCGTGGAGGCGCAGTTCCGGCGCGACTGGACCTTCGGGTTTGCGGTCTGGAACTACTTGTTCCGGACCGCGGTCAACTTGCAGAAGAACGCTTACATGTTCTCCGCGCCCAGCGCCGACGGCGGCAGCTACCAGTCCTTGAAGCCCGAGGACATCGTCGCGGGCGTCCGGGAGATCGCATCCCGCTTGCGGGGAACCTACACGGACATCAACGGCGAGGAGAAGCCCGTCCAAGGCGACTTGACCAAGCTGCGCTTTGCAAACTTGAAGCCCGCCGCCCGCAAGATCCTGGCGAACGTCGAGGCCCGGGACCCACGAGGTGCGCAAGACCATGCGCCTCCAGACCCACGCTTATCGCGTCTGCTTCGGGACCTCGATCTTCTTGACTTTCTCGCCTTCGGAGCGAGACACCGCCCTGATGCTGCGCCTGGCGCGTGTGCGAGCGGGATGGCGCGAAGAAGTTCCAGGCCCGCGGCCTGCCGGCGCTGGACGAAGAGTTCTGCCGGCTGAGCCCCGAGGCCTTGGCGGAGAACCTGCCGAACTACGAGGACAGGCGCGCGCTGCTGGCCGGAGGGCTTCAGGACTTTCGGCGCAAAAGGGGGTGGGGGAGAAACCGCGCTGCTTCGACTTCCGGCCCCAGGACGCTGGTGCTCCTGACGCTGCGCCACCTCTTGGGGGTCAGGTTCTGCCCGCGCTGCCCGAACTGCGCGACTTCGGGGCAGCCTTGCAGCGACGCGTTCGGGAGCAACGCCGTGGCTGGCGGCGGCGTGCTGGGCAGAGTTGACGCTCCATCGAGTGTCAAAAGAGCGGAGCCCTTGATGCCCACATGCAAGTGTCGTCCAGCGCCGCCATCAGCGCGGGTCGCTGGCCGGCCTCCTTGACTTGGGTAAGCCCGAACCTTGCTGCAAAGGTATGCTTCCTACACTGCCCATGTCCGGCGCTCCGTCTACTGCGACCCGGAGGGCTGGGAGCGCGATCGGGCCGCCGAGGCCTACCAGGCGAGCCGCCGGCTGCGGCCCGAGGAGTGGACGCGGCGACACTTGGCGGAGGACGTGGAGCAGCTGCAGCAGCGCAAGCAACATCATGTGCATCTCCCTGCCGGCCCAGGCAGCAAGCGGCGGCCCCTGGCCCACTGCCGCAACCCCAAGGATCCGACGAGGCGCAAGAGCGGTTTCCCCCGCGACCGCCAGTTGATTCTGGGCCGAACGGCTCTGGTCTGCCGCAGCTTGGCCGAGCAGCTGGTCAAGGGCAAGCGGAGTTCTTTGGGCCTGCAGTGGGGCCCGGTCAACGACCCGAACCTCGCCGTGGGCGCGAATCGCCAGCGGCGCTGCCCAAAGTGCAGGACCAAGTGATTGCGGGGCGCAGAGCCGGCAAAAATGGGCGAGTTCGGGCGCTGGGGGCCGGGGTTCGGGTTTTGCGTTTCGGGCTTTCAGGTTTAGGTTTCGGGGCGCCCGGCTTCGAAGGTTGGAGTTGGGCTTTGGGGCTCGGGGCTCTGAGGTTTGCGTTTCGGGGTTTTGTGTCTCGGGGCGCGAGTTTCCGGGGAGTGAGGGGGACGGCCCGGAGATCGGTTTATCTCAAAAGGCTGCCTGCTGGCCCGCTCCTTGGTCGAAGTAAGACCGCTTTGGGTCACGGGGAGCCTCGAAGACCGGTCATGAGTCAAATTGAATTGCTATTGGGCGCCAGGCTTTGGCCGCGCAAGGTTTGGGGTTTGGGGGTGAAGGCTGAAGGTTCACAAGGCTTCAAGGGTTCAGGCTTCAGGCTTCAGGGTTCTGGCCAGGCTTCAGGTTGTTTGGGCGGGGGTCAGGGTTCAGGTTCGGGGGCCGTATTATCAACGCCAATGGCCATTTCATCAAGAGCAATTTGGACAGGCTGCTTTTATCACGCCCCAATGGCCGTTTTATCAAGGGCAATAGACGTTTTAACAAGCTAAGGCAGCCCGTAGACCATTTTATCGCCCGTAGACCATTTTATCGGTTCTAAGAGCCGTTTTATCAAGCCAAGGCAGCCCGTAGACCACTTTATCTAAAAAAGCTTAGGGTCGACCCCCCCCTATAGAGGAAAGTGGTTTGCTCCTTTACATCTTCCTGAGTCGATTTGAATTTGTGTTGGGCGCCAAGCTGTGTTGGCGGACCCTAAACCCTAAATTCTCTCTTCAATGGAGATTCAAACCTTAATGCATCAGTGGCCCTGAAATTGACGGGGTCTCGTTGGACTCCTCTTCTCCGAAGGAGGATTCTGTCCTTTGGGGAAGGAAGGTCTCAGGAATTGCTTTGGTTCTGTCCAGCTCAAAAACCTTCCTTGGCTTTCTCCCCGAAGAGGATTCTGTTCTTTGGGAAGGGAAAGGTCTTAGGAAATGCCTTGGCTCTGTCCCGGGCTTCTTCACTTTGTCCTGGGCCAGCTCCAAAAGCTGTTATTTAGCTCCTTTCTGGGTTTGGCCAGCCTCATATGGCGCAATACAAAAATTGCAACTCCAGCTTGAAAGGAAGAGATCTGGTCAGTTGGCTCCTGGCCTTCGCCCGGCCATAAACTGTTCGTGCGGCGCAACGTAAAGATCTGGTCATTTAGGTGAAATGTAGAGATCTGGTGAGTTGCCTCCTTTCCGGGCTTCGCTAGCCGCTGATAAACTGTTCATACGGCGCAGTGTAAAAACAGCCAGCCAAGCTCAAAATGTAAAGATCTGGTCATTTGGCTGCTTTCTGGGCTGGGCCAGCCGCTGATGAATTGTTCATATGGCGCAATTTAAAGACTGGCCCTCCAAGCTCGAGCAGTAGAGATCTGGCCATTTGTTGCTGTTCGAAGAGTTTATCTTGCGGAGCAGGATACAATTAGCGACCGGGCTTGCGATGACTTCCAGAGTTGAGGAGTTTATCGCTCGCAACCCCCGTCTTGAAATTTGGAGAAACCGAAGAACTCGCCTATGTTGTGGGTAACCAGTCTGGGTGGGTGGGAAAGCCAACAAGACTTTTCTCAATCCATTTGATATACCCTCTAGACCCTAAACCCTAAACCCTAAACCCTAAACTTAAAGCTCGCGACGACTGACCGCTTGCTTAGAGCGACATGGAGTCGTGAGCGCACGGCGCGCTTAGCGCCCGGGCAAGAGCTCCGAGCTATTGCCAATAAAGCGCCAGCATGCAGCTGCCCCAAGGGCCTCCCTTCTCTTGGGACCGTGCCTACAGGCACAAAATATGCGAAGCAATATTTTAACCTAGGTCCAAGACCCTAACCTGGCCTTGAAGACCGCGTCGAAGCTCTCCTTGATAAAACGGCCATCGGCCTTGATAAAACGGCCATTGGCCTTGCGATTTGCCATGTACCTTGACAATTAGCATTGATAAAATGGCCATTGGCCTTTGTAAACTTGATAAAATTGCCATTGAAGCGGCCGTCCGGGCTGGAAATGGCTTGGCCCGGCCGCTGATAACTCTTTAGACGGGGTCATATGAATCTGCCCATCCGTAGCCCAAATCAGGAGACCTGGCCATTGGGCTGCCCCTCGGCAAAAAATCCTTGATAACATCAAAGGGTCTGCCCTTTCGGCCTAGCGACAAACCTGTTCCGGCCGTTTTCCTTGCAAAGCTTTTCCTTATAAGGCAATCACAAAATCGTTGAAGCCGTGGCCTGCGCTATGGCCCCCAACGCTCGCGACAAAATCGCAGAAGCCGCGCCCTGAGCGATGGCCCCTAACTGATCCGTCGCTGCCGCTTTGCGCTGCGCTTCCAACGCAGCCAGCGAGCGGACAACGGCTTGTTGCCAGCCTGTGCGCCAGCAAACGGCCGTCAGCTCGTTGCCGACCTCTTGCTTGCCTTCGAAGCAGATCGCCCGCGCGTCGCATCCTTTCCGCGCGCGACTGCCCCAGAGCAAAGCTTTGGTCCAACCGTCGCAGCTGCGCCCTCAAGCGGAGAACGTATCTGCAACTCCTAGCGTTGAAATCGCTGCAGCCTTGGCCTCAACTATGGCCCATCGCTCAAAGTTGTTACAGCCGTCGGCCCCTCGCCGGCCTCAAGCAGACACGAAGAGCGCGTGTGGCTCCCAAGCGCGCGCAACTTTGGGTTCAAGCCAGTGCAGCTGCAACTTTCACGCGGCAAACGCTTCTGCGACTCAGCTCGCTCCAGCTGCAGCGCTCGGCTAGCGCTAGCGAGGAAATCGCTGCAGCCTTCGCTTGAACTATCCTCCGCCGCTTGCTCGCGGCGAAATTGCCACAGCCAGCCGTCGACCCCTCGCCGGCCTGCGCGAGCCTCGCGCAGCTGCGACACACGCGCCCACGTCTCCTTAGGATGCGGTGTCAATCGGCCAAGCAACGTGGCCGCCGCGCGCGACTCTAGGAGCTCAAGCCGTCGCAGATTGAGGATGCGAACTTCAAGCGTTTGCGCTTTTGCGCGATCAAGCGCTTCCCGTATCACTCGCCCGCCGGGGTCCAAATTAAAACCCTAAACCCTAAAAGATTTGTCTCTGGGCGGTATTGGGGTGGGTTGAAGCAGCCGCCTCGGCGCGCCGCCCCGCGACCCTCTCTGGGTCGAGGCGCGCCGCTTCCGAGAGCAAACCCTAAACCCTAAACCTAAACCGTAAACCCTAAACCTCTATTCTCTACTCTAGTATATTTATTTAAATGTTTGCCCTACAACGTAAGACTTTCTTTTTAGTTCTGCGCGTGTCCCGCAAGCTTCTAAATCGGTTTCGTTGTTCAAATCCAAGTTCGGGGCCAAAATCGCAAATTTTGCACCGCACTAAACTTGCGCGCTTTAGCCCTCTTGGCCCCGGCTGAACCGCGGGCGCGCCGGGGCCCCGCCGCGGGGCTGGTGGCCCGGTGGTCGCGCGTCCGTCTTTGAAGCGGGTGGCCCCGGGCTCGGTTCCTCCCTGGCGCGCGCTTTGCGCTGAGTCGGCGCGCGCTCTGAAAGCTTTCTTTTCAATTCTCTGTATTTCTAAATCTGTTTTGCGCCTCGAAGCCAAGTTCAGGCAGATATTGCGCGCGCTAAACTTGCGCGCTTTCTGGGTCAGGCCCTCGTGCCCGCGCGTGGGCCGCGGGCGCGGCGGGCCCCGCCGCAGCTTCGCGCGTCCGCGGGTGGTCCCGGGCTCGTTTCCTCCTGCGCGCGCGTGTTTTTCGTGGCCCCGTCGTTGTTTCGGGCTGCCGCAACGTTTTTCGTGGCCGCGCCGTGGTTTTCCACTTCCGGCAATCAAGAAGGCGCGGCAGCCTTTCGTCATCATTACGCTTGATCCGCTCTCTGAGCACTTTCGCGGTCGAAACGCTCTTGGCTTTGCGCGGCGCAGAACTTCCAAGCTGGCGGGGCGTTGCAGCTAAACGCGAACTCGAAATCATCGCCAAGCCGTTGGGGCTGCTTCATGAAGCGCTTCTCAGCGGACGTAGTTTCCTGCGCACAGAAACTCGCAGCTACTCTCTGCCCTTGCAACGTATTGCTTGCCGCCTGCCAATTTGTCTTGTTCGCTGCTCGCCGATTTTTGCAGTTCGTCACCTACTTCGTCGGTCGCGCTGCGCGCGCGCCCTCTCGCCGCTTTGCTTTCGCTGCGTTCGATGTGTTGAGTTGCGCTGGTGTGGAAGCTGACTCTTGGTAGCGGGCCTGGGTGGGTGGGATTGAGATCGAAACTTTTGATTGACGTTGCTATGAAGATTTCCATGTCTCAAATCCTGTGAACCCTAAACCCTAAACCCTAAACCCTAAACCCTAAACCCTAAACCCTAAACCCTAAACTTAAAGCTCGCGACGACTGACCGCTCGCTTAGAGCGACATGGAGTCGTGAGCGCACGGCGCGCTTAGCGCCCGGGCAAGAGCTCCGAGCTATTGCCGATAAAGCGCCAGCAGCTATGCAGCTGCCCCAAGGGCCTCCCTTCTCTTGGGACCGTGCCTGCAGGCACATAATATGCGAAGCAATATTATATTACCCTAAAACCTAGGTCCTAGACCCTAACCTGGCTCTAAAGTTGCGCCCTTGATAAAACGGCCATTGGCCTTGATAAAACGGCCATTGGCTTTGACGCAATGCCCGCCATTGGCCTTGATAAAACGGCCATCGGCGGCCATTGCCTTCGCGCCCCTTGATAAAACGGCCATTGGCCTTGATAAAATGGCCATTGGCATTGACGCAACGCCCGTGGGCCTTGATGAAATGGCTATCGGCCTTGATAAAACGGCCATCGGCCTGGCCAGCGCCCTTCACGACATGGCATTGGCTTTAATACGGCCGTTGGTTTTGACTGGAAATGGCTTGGCCCGCCTGCTGATAAATTCTTTACATGAGTCTGGCCATGCAAAAAATCCTTAAAGAAGTGGCCATTGGCCTCGCATTGCCGTTCTTGATACACGTGCCATCGCTTGTGGGGCCGGCTTTCAATCC